AATAAATTTCCACAAAAATGAGGTTTTTAGTGTGGGTTTATCCATGAAAGAGGAAGAGGATTTATGTGCAATACTAACATGTAAAAAAGGGGACCTTCCTATGAGCTATTTGGGGATCCCCGTGGATAAGATAAGAATACACAACAGAGTGGAAACCTACTGAAAACAAAATAGATAAGAGGTTGAGCTGTTGGCAGGGGAAACTACTAGCTACAGGAGGGAGATTAACCCTTATAAACTCCAGTCTCAGCAGTACTATACCTCTATATATGATGTCCTTCAATGACTACCTAAAGGAGTGAAAAAATAAGAATGGATTACTTTAGAACTCATTTCATATGGCAAGAGATCAAGGCATTAGAAAGTATCACTTGGTCCAATGGCCAGAGATATGCAAACCAAAAGACCAAGGGTGATTGGGGATCCTTGATCTAGATATAATGAACATTGCTCTACTAGGAAAAAGGCTTTGGAAGTTAGAAAATGAACCAGTACTGTGCAGGAAAATCCTGAGAACCAAGTATTTAAAAAAACAAGCCTCTAGCTTTGATCAAACACAAACAAGGAGACTCTCATATTTTTGTCTGGCCTTTTAGAGATTAAAGACATTTTCCTAGCTTTTTGTAGGAAACAAGTTGGGAATGGAATGAGGACTCATTTTTGGCAAGATGAGTGGGTGGGGAACAGTACAATTGCTGAACAATTTATATTACATTTACAAAAAAAAAAATTATAGTAGCAAAGGCCTTTGAGAAAGGTTGGGATTTCTTTAAATTTAGGAGAATTTTGATTGAGGATATATATAGCTAAGAAATGGGAAACAGTTAAAAAAAATGTGTGCAATGATCACTTTGAAGGCAGAAAATGATAAACTGATCTGGACTTTAACTAAAAATGGACTTTTCACTGTAAAATCTTTCTACCATGCTCTAAAATTATAGACAAGTGGGTTTCCTTTTAAAGAGATGTGGAAGTTCAAAATTACTTTAAAAGTCAAAGGTTTTATCTGGTTAGCCCTCAGAAATAGCATTCTCACCAAGGACAATCTGATCAAAAGGGGTGGAAAAAAGGGACAAACAAATGTCAGTTCTGTAACAATACAAAAAGTATTGCACAAGCTTCTTTGGTTGTAGTATGGCAAGATTTGTTTGGAGCACAGTTAGATGTGTGTTTGATTGTGAGATACCTGATGGGATTCAAAATCTAATGGGACCTTGGTTGAAAGAATTCGCTAAGAAAACCAGAAAGATGGTAGCTGTTGGAATTTCTGCTATCATATAGATAATATGGAAGATCAGAAATAAATCTTGTTTTGACAATATACTACCTAATGATCCTATAGAAATAATCAGGCAGGTGGCTAACTGTATGTCTGACTGGGCAATTTTACAGACCAAGGAGGAAGAAACAAGAATACTACTGGAAGGGGACAACTGCTAAGACGGGTGGCAAATGAGATCTACAACGCTAAGTATGGATGGAGCTTCAAGGCAGGAAGACTGATGGGATGAACGCTGCAGCTCCCTCTTGTGAATTGATTCTGGAAGACCTGTTTCTCTTTTGATGTGGATAAACAAAACCTCTGTCTCGCTTTGGTAGTCTGAAGCCTGTTGGTTAACCTTCTGGAAGCGTTGCAACTATGTTTTTGTTTTTGTGTGTGAAAACTCTACCCACTTAGTGGATGTCTCTATGTAATATTGGAGCCAGAGTAACTGTTGGGATACACGTAGGCTACGATAGTATAAATCAAAATTTTCTATCACGTAAACCAGGAACCATGCAAGTATTAGATCATAGATCGTTACCACTCGACGCGCTGCGCAGCGGAAGAAGACGCTGAGAAGTCGAAGGAACTCTCGCGAAGTAGCGCGCGTCGATGTAGAGGAAGTAGTCGATCGCACCGGCTCGACCTTCTCCTCCTCGTGCGTTTTCCTCGCCGTACTCCCACGCCGATCAGCACCGCAAACCAGCGACGCCTCTACCGGTATCCACACGTACAGGGACGGAACGCCACGCGCAGATGTGCTAGCACCCGCGTGCGGCTAGGGTTTTGCTCGGGGAGGGAAGTGACGGCTAGGGTTTCTCACGTGATGCAATACCTCCGCTGGTCACACCCCTCACGAATATATAGGATCCATCACTCGGGCCTCCAAGGCCCCTAGGACTCCTATTTGGATCCCTATCCGAATTAAGCTCATATTGGATCTCCATCCAATCCCCTTATTCCGGCCCATTAAGCATGCGACCCTGTAGGTTCATGTATACTCGGCTATAGCCCGAAAACTCCTTTTCGGTCCACGCATCAACAGCGGCCCCTAGCAGAACGTATTAACCCACCGGACATACATAAAGATCATATCGGCTGAACCTCTAGTGTATACTTGTATGAACCCCTTTGCCTCACGATATCGATTAAGCTAAAGGCTAGATATGTGCCATCCTCTAATAGCTCAATCATTCACTCGAACCTGTTGATAGATTATATAATTTGTGATTGACTCCTCAATCACCTTTGGCATGGCCATGCACTTCCATAATCTACAACATCGAGGGGCCCAGAGATATCTCTCCATAGGAGGGGCAAATCCCATCTTGATTATTCATATCCCACTACATGTTTCATAGCATACCCAAAAACTACTTTTATAACTACCCAATTACGGAGTAGCGTTTAGCAGTTACTAAGTAAGCTACTACACATGTTGGGAACCATAATAATCTCAGGTCTAAGGATTCAACACTTACAATAAATGAGATCACTGATGACACAACACATATGGCTCTTGTAGTGTCTCATGTTGGGTCTATCCAACAACATGTTCACCAACATGTGTCCACATTATTAATTTGGTATCTCTATACCATGATCCATGAGATATGATCATCAATTAATACATGTGCTGATCATATAAACATATTTATTCCACATATGATATTTGATCAGGGATCCTTTAGAAATAGTAACAAACAACATAAAGAGTCTCATGAAAGAATCACATATTCATTAACCAATAATAAGTTATCTATTTCAAGGAACAATGTCGGATAAATATGTAAATATAGTATGTGATACAATCATCTCTATGATTGCCTCTAGGGCATATCACTAACAGTAACCTCCTCTTCCAGATCGTTATATATTCATATCGAGATATGATATGAATGATGTGTCCGCATATGGAAGATCATCATTTTGAAGAAGGGAAAGTGAGCCGATTATATGATCATTCTTTCCAAGGATTGATATATAGGAAAGCAACAACGTAATCTTGCAATCAATTCTTCATTGGAAATCTGAAAAAAGGATTTGTTTTTCTTCACCAAGTTAATTCCGAGACGCTGCACACACGAATTTAACTTGGTGAGGGGGTGGGGCAATTTTGTTGGATGAGAATTTGTGCATATTTTCTAAAATGATTTTAAATGTAGTGTGTATACACAAACGTATATGTAGGATGGGGCTGATGTAAATCTCTAAACCGGCTTAGCTAGCTTGTAGCCTCATCTTTTCGTTTATATTTATACTTATCAACTAAAGTTGGAATTTTCAACCTTAAATTTAGAGTTGATTTTGGGGTTTTTTCATCAAAGTTTATTTTTCACTCTTTACTTTTAGATTACTAAGAACACATATATAAAAATTTTATTCACAAATTATTTTTCGTTTGTAAATATGTCGTTTGGTTTATTCCTCGATGGAGCCATTGTTTTGTTATTTTCTAAACTTTTCTTGTTTAGGAACTTTTATAAATTAAGGTGGTTAGCAATTTCGTTCCACCATAAATCTTTCGGGTAGTACGTGTGTTGATAGAAAAAAGCGCCAAAAGATGTAAACATGCTTGTTTTTTTACGGTTAAAACAGCATAAATAATATATGTACAAGGAGGAACATGATACAGAGGGGAGGAAAAAAGAAATTCCAAAACCAAAACCAAATTATCTAATCGATTGAATCCATGATTGCCAGCTAGGTTTGCTTGCATCCTTTACTCTATGCATATGCTCAATAAAATCCTCCCTGAAATCTGAGATCCATTAATTCCTGAAGTTGATGGGGATTCCATTAAAGATGAGATCATTTCTTCTAACCCAAATATTCCAGCACCCAATGCCAAGGACTTCCATGAAGAAAGAATGAGGGAAAAGTCCTCTTGCAGCCATGATCATGTTCATGAATTCTGTATTCAGATTCCATGATATATATACCAATGTGATTCCAATATTGCTGAGCAAAAGAGCATGAAAAAAAAATAGATGAATGTTGTCCTCTGTGATGTAAACATGCTTGTGGTTGTGTACACTGTCAAAAAGTTTTCCTTGAAATCTTTAGGCTTCAAATTCTATACTATACATCATGCTTATATATGCTCCTGTATTAATTGCATGCATGTCAATTTTTTTCTTGCAATATGTGTTATAAAACCGATCCGAAACCACCGTCGAAAATCAAATATGGAAGAAACACCATAGAAGATCCAAACACGATGATAACACTGAGACACTATATTTATTATTGAGGTTCAAACATCTCGGGATCACTGATTACAGGCACTCCTCTCCGATCCAACATAATTACAGCGCATCATATTTACATTGACCCTCGGCCGACTAATGCTGGCAGCCGCTTCCTCCCGTCTATATATGCTAAGTCATCATGTGGTTACAACATGATTGTGTCTCTATTTAAGAGAGAGTTTAGAAATAGTTCGATTTTAACTCTATCCTGCATCTGTTATAATTTCAAGTTCTAAACTGTGACCGACTACGTACATATATTTAACACAAATTCTAATGATAAACACAGTTGAGCCTCCCAAAATTCTTGGAGTACAGAGAAGACGTCTGCAGCCATGTTCCACACACTTGAAACTCGCAGATTCCTGCCTTGATTAGCATGTCACACATCGATGTCAGCAGCTAATGCGGCAGCTGCAAAACTCACAAAACAACGCTATTTGGAGAACCTAGTACTTGTCTAAACCACTACGCCACAAGAATGCACCATAAAACCTGCCAAAACTAGCTTCAAACATAAAGTATATTGTTCGATCGTCGCATGCACAAGCATATGGCGCCAAACCATCCACCGGCCATGGAGGCGGCGCCGGAGCACGGTGGACGTTCGTCGTCGTCGTCGACGGATCCAGAGCTGGATCAGCATAACAAGGGCATACTGGAGAAGATGCACAAGAGCCTCCTCCTCCTCGCCATCCTCGCCGCCACCGTCACCTACAACGCCGGCCTCGCCCCGCCCGGCGGCGTCTGGGCCGACGACGCCGACGGCCACGTCGCCGGCGACTCCGTTCTCCAGGTGTGCGCGCCCAAACATCAACTAATTTGTGTGCACATGATCAACTGTCGTTGGACTGAATTTAATCTAGCTCATGCTCATCTGACACACACAGGCGCACTACCCGGTGCGGTACAGCGTGTTCTTCTACTGCAACGCGACGGCGTTCGTGGCGTCTCTGGTGATCACCATGCTGCTGCTGAGCAGCACCTTCAGCTTCCACGGGTACAGGGTGCGGGCGCTGCAGGCGGCCATGGCGCTCGACCTGATCGGCCTCCTGGGCGCCTTCGCGGCGGGGGGATGCCGGAGCGTGAGGACGTCGGCGTTCGTGCTGGCCCTCGTGGCCGTCATCGCCGCCTACCTCGTCGCCCACCTGCTGCTCCACTTCTGGATCCGGAGCAGCCGGTGCCCCTCCCACCGCCGGGAGCTCGTCGAGCTTCTGAATCTTCACCGGTGCCATTCTTGCTGCGTCGGCGCCGCCGCCGCCAAGGACGACGCGACGACGGTGGCGCAAGCGGGCACTGAAGCACCTGCTGCTCCTAAGCGCGCGTCCAGCGTGTAACTGCTTGCGCCTTTGCCTCCCGCGGGCAAAGAATTACCTTCCGTCGTCGTAAAGGCAGTAAACGCAGACGTCCAACAGGAAATTGCTCAGTTTTCTTTAAAAAAATCTGGATGCATATGAGTAGCATCGAGCGAGAGATTACTCAGTATCCACATCAATTATTGGGTGCATTATCAATTATTGGGTGGATATATGAGTCTTGTTTGTGTTTTCTGGTTTTATATAGGTTGAGAAAATATCTGTATCCTACTTGGCCATATATTCTTATTCTTGGAATCTATATATAATTCCTAGGTTGTAATTACTGAGCCATGTAATTGTATCTCACTCTATTTAGGCTTCAATCCTTCCCCGTGCGCTTCAAAAAGACTGATGATTGGAAAACAGTGGCAGGAAAAAATCGGGCCCACCAAAAAACAGCGACAGAAAAAATCGCCACCCACTGAGAAAAAAATCGGACGGACAAAAAAAGGACAGGTGGAGATGGGAAAAATTTGGGCAAAAAACCGCAGCAAAAATAACGGCGACAAAATCTGCTTGCGGAAAAAAATGATGACGAAAAAAAACTATCGGAAGGATTACTTATTTTTTTAATTAAGTATAAATTAGAATAGAAAAAAATACCCGTGCGTTACAACGGATAAATGTTATTTTAATTTTATTATTGCTATAAGATTTAGATTAGGTGAAATTCACTATAAGAACTCACTTAGATATTTTTTTATAAAATCGAGCTATAATTAGGAGTCCAACTTTTGTCTCACGTTCACATTCGATTCTCCAACTGGGCTTGTTAGATATTAATGGCATGCTTTTTAAACTGCTAAATGATGCGTTTCGTGCGAAAATTTTCTATATGAAAGTTGTTCTAAAATATCAGATTAATCATTTTCCAAGTTTGTAATAATTGAAACTTAATTAATTATACTTTTTTACCACCTTATTTTACGTGAAACACTTAATCTTCATCTTTAAGAGATTCAAACATCACCTAAAGAGATTTCTTATCCTACTCCTTTTGTATTTTTAAAGCAAATGAAGTTAAAAACTAACTCAAACACGCGGATACGTAGAACTTAAACATTAACTTAAACAAGGATGACGTACCAAAACACCGATAAAAAATATTCAATTTTTATAATAGTAGTAGAGATATACTGTATACCTAATAAAAAATTAATTCCTTAGATTCCGTATTTGTTTCGTCGTCTTTTTTTTTCCGCTTTTTTTTTCCGCCTTTTTTTCTTTTTCCGTTATTTTCGCTGCTTTTTCCTTTTTTCCGTTCCTTTCGCTTGTTTTCTTGTTTTCCACACGAGAATGACAGGGCTCGGGCCCCCGACGGTGGTGGAGCCGATCGGGCGCTCCCCCGTGCGCCCCTCCACCCACGCGCGTGTATGCAGGCCCTGAGCCCCACCGCGTTCTCTGCTCCTACCTGCCATTGTAACAAATCACCCACATATTTTAAAAACCCTCTATTAAAGGAATTTGGTTTATTTTTTTTTCCACCGAAAATGTTTCACTCAGTGTACTCACAATGTTTCACTATGTATAGATTTAGTGTTACAGTGAACTGAAATATTCCATTACAACAAAAAAAATCCACATATTTTAGAAACCCCCTATTAAGGGAATTCGTTTTATTTTTTTTCCACCGAACGATGTTTCACTGTGTATGGATCAAATATTGCAGTGAACTGAAACATTCTTTCGCTATTTGCTGAAACATTGTTTTTATATAAGGTGAAACAACATCCGATTTAAACGAGTGAAACATTTTTGATCTACTTGGTGAAACAATTCCGATATACCTGATGGAACATCGTGCAACATTTAAAAATAATTTAATAATAAACTAATTTTTTTTGTCGGAATACATCCATGTGTGATCTTGTTTTGAAGATTTAATTGCAACGAATTTAACGGTGTAATCGGATCATGATTTGGATAAGTAATTTAAGAGAAAGATCAGTTTAAAATAGTTTTGCACGTAAATTGGGCGCTGATGTCCGATTTTTCTCTAAACCGATCGGGCGCCCGACCCGTAGACTCGTCCGCCTTTTATTCCTCTTTTTTCCGTTCTTTTTTGTATTTTTTTCGTCGTATCTTTTTCGCCTTTCTTTCTTTTTCTCGCCTTTTTTTTCTCCGTTCCGTCCACTTCTCTTTTTTTCTTTTTTTATTGCCCTGTTTTCTTTTTCTCCGTTCGGTGGGTTTTTTTCTTTGTTTTTTTGTTTTTTCCGGTCTATTTTTTCGCCGTTTTTTCTCGTCACCTTTTTCCTTTTTTTTTTCATCCGCTCGTTTTTCGTTGCAATTTTTTAAATTTGCTCTTTTACACACTTTGGTATGGATTCGGTTTTATTTTTTGTCGCTGGCCGGACCCGCACCGTCGCCACGTTGATCTGCCTCTTCATGCGTTACCTTCTCCAATTGATTGTAAAAATCGATTCCTCACTACCCGTTATCATTTTTCCCATGATTTTTCCAATCAATTCTGCTTTAATTTACCAGATCTAATCTCCTTTTAAATGTAGTCGTTTTTATCTCGAGCTTTATGGATTCACTCAGATTTTGATAAAAACAGAAATAGTAGATCAAGTGTATCAAAAAGTCATCAACCAATTTTAGGATCGAGAATGATTCGATCTGATTTAATGAGGAGGATCCGATTTTCTGAGGTTTGAAAACGCAGTCGGCTATGTGAGCTGGGCCTACAACTCCCACTTGGGACTAACGATGCTGATGGCATTTTTAGGACAAAATTGCTTGTACAATGGCATTTCATGGAACTCACACCTGTCAATGCTATTTCTTGGAATTGGGCGCTTATCAATGGCATTTCATGGAATTGGGCGCTTATCAACGGTATTTCTTGGTTTTTTTCTCATGATAATGATACACTTGTTGGACTGTTCTAATGTTTGATATTTTGTTACCAAATAATCTGAGTTGTTAGATCTTCATCCTATGGCTAAAAAACTGACAGTGGCATTTTTTTTCTATCAATTGTATATAGATAATCCCAATTATTTATTGGTACCTAAGAAAGAATACCCGCGAATAAAAAATTGCTATGGATTGTTGAGGAAAGTTTTACCCTGGCATGTTTGGCAAGAGTAGGGAAGGGGAATGGGAGTTTAGAGAAATGAGTTTACGTGGCATTAGTCATGGGAGTTGGATTTTTAGTCCCCATCCCCTTGTTTGGATTAATATGAAGATTATTGTCAGGGTCATGGATACCACATACCCAATAGTAATCGACTAAGCTCGGTGGGGCCTACCATATACCAAGTCTTATAAGGAATCATACCTCGTTTATAGAAGGAGTAGCAGATAAGGAAGGACAATTAGAGTTCGATATGGAAACTAGAAGGACTACTCGAATCGTATCAATACTTGTCTCCCTAGCTCTACTTGGACAAGGGATATCTAATGGGTATTGGTATAAATACAAGACCCCCTAGGAGGAGAGGGGACACAAAACAACGAGACATAAAGATCGACACACAAGCCAACACACTCTACTAGACATCGATATCAGATATTAGCCTAGACGAACCCAATATAGTACCTACGGAGGCCGACAAGAGGGATCTAACGCCATCTCTGATCTCGACAAGTTCATATTCGAGGAGGAAGACTACCATGTCGTCGACTACGTGTTGGTTATCCATGCCGCCAAGTCGACGACAGCTAGATAGGTTATCCCAATTATTGTACTTGTGTGAGATTCAGATGAATAAAGAGCAACACTGGCTTCGGCCAACAGGAGTAGGGCTATTACTTGTCAGATAAGGGGCCTGAACCTGTATAAAAACCCTTGTCTCCATCTCTTTTACTTCAATCTGGCATATACCCTGGTACCAACGATCCACATACCATGCAAATACCATAGTCGAGACCTCAAACATCGACATTGGTGTGCCAAGTAGGGAGCTTTTGGTGCATCAAGATTTCGACGAGATGGGTTCAAGAGATGGATTCTCCAACAATAAACTACTCGACGACTTCGGCTGTGGGGTGATATGACCTGAACGAAGTGCGTTCTCTGATGGCTCGGGACCCTCGTCATCTCAAGTCATCGTCAAGTCAAAGATTTATTGTTCCTATCATTTGTATGGTCAAGTATATTACGAGATTAACTATGCTTATTAATTAAGTTGTCCCCTTACCATGGAAACCTTAAAACCATTTGGTCTTGATAAATAATCATGTACTACCCTTCCATCTACTGCAGACCCTTCCCAACCCAGTAATACATAACTGAATTGCATGTCGGGTGCACATACACCAAGAACATTGGTTGCAACAACATTTTTTCTTGAACAGTATCTTGGTTTGTCAATTGCGGGCACATGAACTTGTATGTATGTCCCATCTAAGGCACCTAGACAGGTATAAAAAACAGTAAATATGTGTTGAAATATGAACAACTTCAATCTAAAATGTTTGTGGTTAGAGTTAGAATATTGGTTTGTACTTTAAACCACTTCCACCTTTCATCTTTATGATTTCCACTAATTGGTTTAGGCTTATTTAGCAACACCTTCCAAAGCTTTAGGACTACACTTAGCACTTTGAAAATTCCAACTTACTGTCCCAGGTGATCGTTGAAAATCAAAATGTATTGCCCAGTCCTTCGGATCATGTCCAAGATTGTGCAAAAACATGGCTACCATTTCTTCCAACTTCATATTGCTAGTATGTCCCACAAAATTCTCTAACCAAAGAACACACCATTCTAAAATAATGTCTATCCATCCATAGATATCTAATGAATTCTTTATCACTTACACATATGATGTTATTCAAATTTTGTGATCGAGTAATCGGGTCATACCAAGAAGGTTCCGAACTTCGACAATGTTGCATTGACACCTTCTAATTTAATATGCCAATATATGGATCAACAGATACAATGTCATCACTTTTTTCACTCTATGTGTTGTAGCCACGATCATGGTCTTCATCTTGTTAAGGGTTGGCGTCACATGAGCCGGTGCCTTAGGAAGAAGGGTATCGAGAAGAGTGATTGATCTAATGACGTTATGCTATGGTGTGAGAAACATGATGGTATCGTTGAAGTCACCAAAGTCGACAATGTCGGTGATGGCGTAGAAGTTGTCTTCAGAGGAATTAAGGTAGTCGGCAATCTCGGTAGATGAACATGAACCAAGTGGTTGAAGCATTACGCCAACCTTCCTGAAGCTAGATCCAATCTCGGCCGACGCTAGATCAAATCGGGTCCTATGGGGGAAGGCAACCTTGAGCCGAACATTGCAGTGACGTCGGCCGGGAGTCGCATGGTGATCGGTGGATACGTTGGCACGTCTTGAGCAGAACTTGG